CATCTGGGATAGCAATCTCAATGGTTGTTCCCTTTGCATGGGGAGAGAAAGTTCGCCGACAGCCCAGCCAGATTGTAGCCAGCCCATCTCTTTCCAACCCTTCCCAGGCTCGCAGGCTCCAAGGCTTGCCAGGGACAGGCCAGCCCACGCCACCTCCAAGGGTTCTCAAAGGGCCCGGAACCACATAGGGGTCCGTGACGTCCAATGAGTTTGTTGCCGAATTTGGTTTGACAGATGTCTCGTTTTCTTTTTCTTCGTCTTCCTTTTTGATAAGGCATGTCGTTCGAGGGCGAGAAGGAGAACTATCGAACTCTCGAACCAGATCATGATGGATGACGCATCTGATGGGAGGTCAGCGGTCTGATCGTCGTGGTGGTGGTGTTCAAGATCTGTTAAATTACCCGTTGTCAGTGCCTCTGTGGAGAGTGCGTATTGTACGATCTCGATTTGATTGTCGATGCCCCGTACTTGCGCATACTCCCTGGTGAGTATCCCGCCTGCAATATGTCGTTCTGCAGCCCTTTGCTACCCCAATATCTGGAAGTCCCTTATTGCTCGAGGTAGAGGGTGAAAGACAAGACGGGAACCTTGCCTCCCATGGACAGCCGCGCAACGAATTCAGTAGCACTGGACGTTCCCGTCCGTCCGCTTTGGATTGACTCTTCCAGTCTCTCGGAACGATAATCAAACGAAATCACGCCCCACGAAACGCCTCTGTGTGCAGCATCCTCAACGCTCGGACAGTTCATGTAGGCCGTCTTTTTGTGATACGGTAAAAGTATTACGGGGCCTGTTACCGTATCGGCCAGCGTACCTTGATGATCAGACATTGGTACCTGTATAGTATGCAGGTGTTATTCTGCTACGTCGAAGCCATCCTACGTAAAAAGAACACCATGCTACCTTTACCCATCTCCATGATGGGGCCGGCTAGGCACGGGACCAGGGGAGTTTGCTTGTCTCTGGGTTGGCGAGAGCGAGCGAGAGCATAATCGGCCCCGAGAAGTGTCAAGAGAGGCTAGCAAGTGGAAATTCATGATTGTGTCAGAGCAGTCCGGATGACGCCCCCTCCAATTGCGAGAGATAGGGGGCCCTCGGGGGCTGTGATGATGGGCTGGAAAGATGCAACAAGAGCTTCGAGTGTGTTGCTGGGCTGCGTTCCGGTGGAGTTGCCCACGAACTGCGCTGGACCTTGTTCCCACTGTGCCGCTCTCTCTGCCCTTGCTGCCCACTGGTGCCCCACCCCCTGGGACGACCGGGGTGAGAGGCTCGCGCGCGCAGTGGTTGAAGATTGGTGAAGGCATGGACCAGGCAAGGATGGGAAAAGCGGGGGTGACCGATAGCGCGTGATTGCGTGTGAGGAGGATTTGTGGGTTCAGACAGTGGAAGGGAAGAAGAACTGGGACCTGACTGAAGCCATCGTGCAAACACGGCGGACCTCTGACTGTGTACCCGCCGGCCGCTGCTTGTTGGTTGCTGGAGGCCCGGAGCGTCGAGCTGAAATTGCCCTGACAAGCTTTTTGAGCAAGCAACTTCTGGAGCCGGGGATGGGTTGTGGAGAGGCTTCAAGATATGCAGAGTTTAATGAGAGGACGGAACAATGGATAACGTTGGGGTTGACAACGACTCGGTGAAGTGAAGCTACATGTCAAGAGAGATGACAGTTCTCCTCAATTCGGGACGTCTGTGCCATGGCCGATAATCGATTTCACGAGCGCCGCGGGCAAGCCAGTGCCTTGACAAGCTCCTCGGATAGGAAAGGTGTGGATGGCATGCAGCAGTAGGCTGAAGAATGGAACGAGGGATGGGGTGCCCGGAGAGTGACGGCAGTTCAGGAACAGGAAACTGACAGCCAGCAAAGTGCGAAGACGGAAAGGTCGACGATGCCATCATCGTAGACCTCCAGAACTCCCATTGTCAAATCTCGGTGACTTTAGAAGCCAATAATCGAAAACAGAGGGAACGAAATTCAGAGGACGAATCAGTGACACTCACTTGCACGAGACAAGACACAGCTGCAAGCGACAGCCGGCGAGGACGAACAAAGGAAAAGTGCGGAGGTAGAGGAGGAAAGTGATCGAAAACGGGCAAGTGGGTTGCTGAAAACAGGAATGAGCAGCAGCTTCTTCTTACGGAAGCAAAGCCACTTCTGATTGGCTGATTGCAAAAGCCACGGAGTGGGGCCCCCTTTGTCTCCGCGTCGGGTGGTGGGCAACTTTCGGCTGGCAGGGAATAGGCAGTGGCAGGCAGGCTCCAGTCAGCAATTGAGCTTTTCCAGGCAGGCAGACACGGGGACACGGGCGCACTTTGTCCTGTTCGGACAAGACTTGCCTCGTCTTATCCTTCCATTGTTGCCAGCGCCAGACTGCTAGTCTCCCAATTCCCGGAAGGAATGCCTTGCTGACCAAAATCTACCTGCGCCGCTATGAAGCCACCGAGACAACCAACGCCCATCGGACGGGCTCCGGCAGCAGCAGCCAACAGATTTCCCCTTTCGGTCAGATATCAGGCTTCACAACTGTCAGTGTGATGGCCATAATCACAAGCCCCGGTTAGTGCAAAATGTCAGCAAAAACAACACATTGACCGAGGTGTCTTTGGATACTACTCCGCAAAGCTTATGGGTAGCCGAGTTGGTACCTCTAGTGTAATGACTTTGCGTCAAAAGTTGCTTTCATTCTTCCCTCAAATTCCACTTGGTTGCTAGGGACTGGAGACCAGGCACGCTAACAAACCAACCCTGATCATTCGACCGGACGTTGATGGCCCGCGTGGATGCAGCACCACAGACTTCGAACAAGTTTGCATGCCAGACGGGAGTTTTTGCCGATAACTTTGACCCACTGGAATCGATGCGAGTCGATGCCCATCTTTTGGACTTTGGAAGTTGAAAGTTGGCGGTCAAGCATCTCCAACAAATCATCAAGACGAGTGTTCTACAGTCTGGTTCAAGAGTCAAGACTGGTTTGTTTGCTAGCTCGAGATCTCGGACCAGCCTCCTCAGCCGTTTTGATACCTACCCGATTCGTTTCACTCTATAACCAAGGCGTAGTTACACTTTGAATATGCTAATTCGGAGTTTTAATATGCCATATTGAATCCTACTAATGCTTTTCCAGTCCGTACTTAACCATTACATCTTGTCCTTCTAAGGTTTGCGATAGTTTAGGACAGATCTCGTCCAGTCCGATAAGAGTACCAAGCTAACAAATAAACCAGCATTGTACTATACACTTCTCCTGATAGCTACATGACGCTGACTGTCACCTAGCCACCTACCTATAAGTCACAACTGCCAGAGTCTCGTGGGCAAAACGAAACCCATACAAAGACACCAGCTCAAGTCAATCAGCTTGGCTCGCAGTTTTTCTGGTGCAGCTAATATCAACCCGGCGTGTCCGGTTGCTGATCTTCGAACGAGGCACAGAATCAAAGAAAAGCCCCGTGATATCTTGCGGCTGCGGCGTACGGAAGGTTGTTGCAATGATTAGGCGCAAATCAGCGCAATCGCTCAAAGCCGGTTCCAAGTCCAGACGGTTTGATTTCTTGGCCCAAGGACGAGAATCACGGCTGGCAAAGTCGGAGAGCAATCCGTGCCGAGATCCAAAGACATGTTCAGATGCCAACCGGTCAGAGGCAACGCCGGTGATATGCCATCTACTCGGGGCTCCAGTCGAGAAGTGTCTTGTGAGAGCGGTGTCGTCGCGGCGTTGCAGTATCCGTGTAACTGTGGCCCTTATTTGACGGCGTACAGCCCGGAGTACGGATCGTAGCAGCATCTCAGCGAACTGCTACACGGCAAGGTTGGCGGTAGTTATTTGTGCTCGCATGAATGACGCTGTTGAGACCGTCGCCACCATGTCTAAGTGCAACCTTGAGAAAAAGAGAAAGAGGTCAGCCTCGGCTTTCAGGTCTTTGCATTCGAGCGTCTGTGTTTGGCAGCGTTTCGAACATTGCGAAAGTTGGAAAAGTCGATATGGGTGAAAGAAACAAAAGAGGCGAGGCCAAAGGTTGAAGAAAAGATGAAGCAGGCCTCCTGTTTGAGGTTTTGATAAGTTGATGTTCTGTCGTTTGATTTTTGATGGTCCACCACTCCCGTCCCCAGATTGGTGGCATTCGTCCAGATTTGGCGCCCTCAACGTCCTCTTTTAGAGACAGCACAGGGCGCATAAGGGCACGTGTTATGTAAATCCCCTGATTTCGTGGGCTTTTGGACGAGTCCCTAACCGCCGCGAGTCTTGGCAATGACCCTTCAACCGCCCGAGCCCCTGCGAAGGCCGGTCACTCAACGACATCTGAAACGATTCATGTCAGGAACAGGCAACTCTCCTACAACATCTCGGTTTGAAGCAACCGATGCGACTCGCGCAATGGTAGTGCTGCCCATACTCTTCATCTCCCTACAGTAACATCGCCCCGTTGTTTCTGTTTCCTGAAGCCATCGCCAAGCGGGATCCCCCGTCGTCTGGCCTGTCTTCGCCCGTGTCTGGACTCTGGAACGTCTCTACTCTCTCCTTTTCTTTCTTGATCGTATCGGCTTTTGCCCTGGTTGGTTGTGCCCAGGATCACTTTTTCCGTACCATTCTCCGGATTTTCCATTACTGGTCATCTAGGTGGGTAGGTAGTCGTCTTGCTCGTCGACCTCTCCTTTCGATGTCATGATCTGGTAAACATCAAAAGAACTATACCATTTTCCCGTCCATCCTTCGCTTCTTTCTCTGCCTGTTGGCACTCTCTTTTTATCCGCGATTGGAATTGCAGGTCAATTTCACCGGTATCTTTCGCTCCTTTATACTCCGTACAGTCTCTCACTACTACGAAGACAACCCCCGAACGAAGACGCCGGTCGTCATTTTCATATTGAACACTAGAAGAAAACACTCTATCGAGCCCGTGAAACGAACACTATCTCGGACTGAGTCAAAGGGGGCAGCCGAGTCCTATATGTCGAGGCTGCTCATCAACAACAAACATACAAGAAAACACCTGGAAACAATACAATGAGTAAGGTGCTTCTGGCCTATGTGGTCGCCGATGGCCTTTTCCTTTTGATGGGCATCTTCATGATCGCCTTCTCCGTCATTGTTCAGAACATCCAGTTTGAGGTCCCTACAGAAGGACATCAAGCAGCAAGGAATCTTTTGTACCAGAGGTTCCCTCTCACAGGTTAGTAACTTCCTGCCGAAGTGCCACTTGGCCTGTGGTTCGCATCGCTAACGAAAGAAACCTTGAACAGCTGGTATTGTGAATGCCGTCTTCATCTTCGTCACTTTCCTCTTCACTATCCCCGGTGTCATCACCCCCGCGCGAGGATGGCTCAAGATGGGCGGCTGGATGACCACCGTCTGCGGCATCTTCAGTCTCATCATCGGTCTCTACCTCTGGATCTTGACCCTCAAGACTAAGGAGGACTTTGCGCCTCTGTACTTCCGCCAGAGTTCCGAGATCCAGCAGCTCATGCAGTCAGCCGTATGCTACCCCACTTCCATCCCCTTACATAAGACTGTATTGACTAACAAACTTCAGTTCCAATGCTGTGGCTACTTCAACAGCACCTCACCCGCCTTCATCACCGACGACATCTGCTCCAGCCCAGCTGCCGCCGCCCTCATGCGCCCCTGTGCGACCCCCATCACCTCCTTCGCCAACGTCCTGGTCGACAACATCTTCACCGCCGTCTTCGGCATGGTCGGTATCGACGCCGTGCTCATCATGGCCACCGCTTGTCTGCTGAAGGAGCGCAAGGAGAGGGAGCGCTTCCGCCATATCGACGAGAAGAGTGGCATGGTTGGGTTCTGAAGAGGGTTTCGCAAGCGAAGAGCAGCGACATGTCGATTCCGACACATACGATCTACCTTATGCGCGATGAATATTGGATGATTATCTGTCATGACCGAGGAGAGGACTGGACGAAAGGAAGGACATCGCCCCACAACTGGGAAAGAGTCTTCTCATGGACCACACCGAAGGAAACGAACGAACGAACGAACAAGACCGCGGGGCGAGAGGGCCGTGAGAGGACAGGCGGCGGGCGGTTCGAATACACACAAACATTACTATCACACCAAAGCCAGTGACGCCTCGACGCCCACGGCCTACTTGCTTGCTCGGCAGGCTGTTTGAGGTCATTTTCTCGGTGGAAGAGGCGGGTCTGGTTAGATTGGCAAAACAGTACCACGGCTGGTTCGCAAAAAACGAGCAATACCTACACTACCTCGTCTAATAAACACCAAACAACTTTCACACTCGCTTTTCCAAAATCACCCATAGACAAATGACAAATGATACCCACCCATCAAGAACACTCGCTCCTAACCTCAGTGAAGCACTCACCTTCAAACCTTACGGACATAAGAAGAATCGAAATTTGTGCATCACTCCCCCATCAATCACCGCTTGCTTGTTTGTCACTGTCATGTCATGTTGTATTATAGTTCTACAGGTTTGTGTTTATATTCGATCAGGTCTCGTTCTCAATTGTGAGCGTGTTTTGCTTCAGTATCTCAGCCAATTGTTAGCTCGGCAGGCTAGAGGTACCCTACCTTAACAATCCGTGGACTCCAATGCTCTTGCCTTGTTTGAAGGCCGAAACTTCTCTGCCTGCTCCTGGCTGAACGGGAATTGTGAAGTTGCTTATCGGATGAGGTGATACCCACCAGATATCCGGTTGGACTTGCCGTGTCTGGTCTCACAACCTAAATCTTCTATGCTCTTGCCTTGTTAATTGTTCTCCGCCTGATTCATTCTCCTTGAATCGGATCGGAAACTCGCCCGGTTACGGGTAGTTGATAGCCACCAGACGTTCGAATGGGCTTGCCCGATCTGGCTGGCCAGGAACCTCTACGTCTTCCACTCATCGTTCTTTCCGCTGAACCTTGAGTTGATGCTCGGCACCAGAAACACGGCAACAGGTGTGTTTGTTGGAACTTCAAGTTCGTTTTTTTCCCCCTCCGTTCAACACACGATGCCTGCATTTGTCCATCTGATTATAACAACTCGGTATCGAAGATCCAACACCAATATCTGGTATCATACTTTCTTTGCTTTGATCCCAAACAGTACTTCGAATACAGCATTATGAAAAGAGCTTGGTCAGTGGCATACCCTTCGTTCAATCATTTTGGTGATAACCGACAGCTAAATTAATGCATTGTTTGAATAGAAACGAAAACTTCCTTCTCACACTTGAGAATAACTACACCGGGTACTCTGCACCGGTCCGACTGGAGTACAGCCTCGAGCTAGTCAGCCATCATCACGACACAAGCAAAGCGAACGAATACACCCATCACAGCCCTTAATAACCACCTTTCCAAGATGGCCTCACCCGGCGATGTCCCGAACCCCATGCGATCGTATGTCCTCATGTTTTTCTTGTTTGTCTCTCAGCGACTTGGCCAAGTCAAGGTGATTTTTGGTGACGAAGATGACGACTACGTTGAGCCCAACAACTAGCATTTCGAACTGGCCGAAGCCCGGCGTCTCTCTCGCCGCTTTCGTGTGTGGACTGAACATTATCACCCGGCCGAGTTAGATGCAGAATATGCGCGGATCAACTCCCCGAGCACCATGAAGAAGAGAAAAGAGCTGCACCGGTTATATTCTAAGCTTTGTGAAGCTGTTGATCTTTGTGCGTCTTGCCTGGGTGCTCAGCTTAACGGGACATGGTTACTGACACATGACATTATGACCCCCATGACGTCTAGTACTTGACTATTGTAAGGATTGGGATCCAGGTGCATTGCCAAGAGTAGCCAACACGATCACTCCTGCAATGAGCGATGTTCGTCGGAGGATTCGTAGTTTAGATTTCAGGGTAAGTTTCAACTTTCCCAGCTCTCCCAGCCGCCCCTGGATCCAAAACCATTCTATGGAGATCTGAAACAAAACAGCTCTAACATTTTTGACTGCCTTTCTCTAGGACAACAAGAACATCGTTCTTAAACTCGGTTGCGTGACAAGGCTCTTCAAGATTGCGAGCGTGATCTACCAATGCGAAAGATGGAAGATGGAATTGGACAACAGAAGAGAGTATCAGCCCGAGCGAAGATCAGGAGAATAAGGACGCAAACAGGCCTCTATACTTGGTATGCCTCCCATTGACATGCAAATAATTCGGAACGATGTGCATCATCAGTTGTTTATCACGAACATCAGCAGTTCCGGCCCGACCAAGATAACGCGAATTCGAACAACGGAACCGTCAACAGCACTTCCTCTCTCGGTAACCCTTATCCGACATTTGCGACCCCCAAAGTTCCCGCCGTCAAACGTCGCGCTCCTCGTGCCAATGGAAGTCCAGCCAGGTACGGCGATGAGAGAGCGCACTTGAATGGGCATGCAACCGGTAACGCCAACGGGTCACCACCACAAGAACAGCAGGTACAGAGGCACTCGACTGCTTCATCCGAGGACACCAACAATACGACTGGAACCCCGGGGCCGAGTTACCCGTTGCTTGAGAAGCGGAAACTGGACATTGCGCCCGAGAAAGATCCCAAGCTTGAGCCCAATCAGCAAAAGAAAGCTCGTAACGCTGTTCCGGCTAAAGAAGAGGGTTACGAGCCCAAGAAGCGTGGCCCCAAGAAGCCTACCATTCTCATTGAGGTTGATGACACCATCATTCAGAATTCGGTCAGGCACAACAGCGGAGACGCGAGCATGAATGGGCTTCGCAATGGTCTTGCAAGCGGACATGCGAATGGGCATGTGAACGATAATGCCAACGGGCATACCGACGGCCATCCCTTCGGTAACCCCACCCTCGATAACAACAGTGGGAACATGAACATGGATGAGTTCACCAATGGTCTTACCAATGAGCAAACGCATGGGCATGTGGGCAATAATTCTAACGGGCATATCAATGGCGATACCTTGGGTAACCTTACTGCCGAGCTTAACGCTGCTCTTGATGAGAATTTGGCGGAGCACAACAGCGGGGACATGATCATGCTTGGGCTTCCGAATGAGCTTGCGAATGGACTCGTGAACGGTAGCTTCCACGGATATGCCGACGGTAACTTCAGCGCGTATATCAATGGTGACTTCAACGGGTTTACGAATGGCAACATCAATGCCAATACCGACGGTGACTTCAACGGGTTCATCAATGACAACATCAATGGTAACGGCAACTTGGGCGACAGCGTCAACGAACTCCCTACCGCCAGTGACACCAGCGCTTACTCTGCCATCCCTTCCTTCGGCCTCTCCTCTCTTCTTCCGCTGCGTCAACACCCCGTTCAATCATCATCTCAGTCTTCCGTCGAGTTCCCTCCTATACAGGTTGACCAAAGGCAATGGCAATGGAATGGCGATTATTATCAGGAGAGTGTATTCAGCGATGCGCAGGGAGGGAACGCCGGCATGAACGGCAGCATCAATACTCCCAACTCCAAACCCAGGAGCATCGATGGGCAGTAGACATAAAACCCCAGATCTCTTTGTCGTGGCATTGGGTTCAGGAATACCAAATGCTTCCTCTGGTCAGCGCACATAGCATAGAGGAATATTGTCACGACTCGTCATTCTGGTTTCTTTCAGTCACATGACGTGACGGTTTCAAGATAGGATAACGAATACGAAAGCTAGCGAGTAAAACTTACCTTCACTGTTATCAAATTCATCACTTACTTCTCTTCCAAGAGAAGTCCTTCTTTGCGGGGAGTGATGATCTTCTTTCTACCTACTACTGCGGAAACTCCACGAGGCCGGCATCTACGGTATGACGAGGTTGCTAACGATCAAAACCTTCTCTTGGGTTAAGAGAACTGTACATACCAATTGCAAAATATAAATGCGTCTCATCGAGATCAGTTCCTGTTATTGTTATGTCACATTTATTCAGCGTTTGTTTGCTGTGAAACTGTTGAGTGTCTCTAGGTTTTGATGGGGTAGCAATGCTTCATGGCGAAGTATACCTATATATATATATATATGCATATCCGCGAATGTGATGCCGCCATGGCTATCACAGGTTGCTCAACCGTGACATCGCTATATAAGCGTGCATTCGGTGCTCTGTCTAGCGAACAGAACATTCGTACATCTTTTGGTGGTTTGGCCTAGGCAGGGAGTGCATACCCTAGTACTCTTGACAAGGGCACTGCATACCAACACTTATCAGACGGGATCTTGGAGTTCGATCCCATCAAGTATAGCACATGGGCATTGCATACCTGTAAGAACCCTTCTTTCCTTCCATCTGATGTAGGCAGCTGTGTCGTTTTCTCTTCATCACATTTGTCTGAACCTTCCAGAGCCTCGGCGCCATAATTTTAACCCTAATCATAGCACTCGCAAATGCCAAGGTGGAATTCTGTACATCACGGTGAGAAGGAGGATCACTTCTTTACTGGTAATGCAACAACACTTGTCAACACGACACACGCACGTCTATTGCTGGTATATTTATTGATATCCCCCCCCTTCGCCCACTTTGCTACCTACCTGTAGAAGATTCGAATAATAAAAAAAGCCAGAACCCCCAAGCGCCAACCTGACCCAACCCAGCCAAACTAAACTACACGGTCTACTACTATACCGGTGAATCATCAACCTTGCTGCGCCTCCTACTATTATTCCTTATCCCTTCTCCTCCTGTTGATGCTGATGGCCGCGGCCCCTGCGCGCCATTAAGTGATAACCCACCACCCTCTGTTATTGTTCTTCGGGTCTCATTCTTTGGAGACACTCGCTCACTATGTGTCCCCGACCCCGACCCTGACCCTGACGCCTGTCCTTGAGGTTGACTTTGATGATGATACTCCTCCAACAACCCCTCCCCTTCTTCTTCCTCATGTATCCTATTCCTCGCAGCCACTATCGCCTCCTCCCGTAGTCCTGGCACACCCAGAGTAGTCTTGGGTTTGCTCTTCCACCACCTCGCTTTGAGAAACCCACTGACGATATCCTGCAGCCCACCGCCACCTGATGTTCGCCTTGGTGCCGTGGTTGATGCTGACGGCTTGCGCGGGATGAAACCTGGGAAACCAGTGGACTTCCTTCGTCTTCGAAAATTCCTTCTGGGCGAGGCGAGGTCGGTGATTGATCTGGGAGCAAACTGGTAGCTATCGCTTACTTCTCTTCGGCGCGGGTGGAGGAGGGAGGTACCCTCGTTTGGATTTGTGACGGGTAACGTGGTTGAGCGGCGCCTGCTGCTGGAGAGAAAGGCAGGGGAAGAGAGGGAGGAGTGGTTGGGTGGTGTGTCGCGGTCTTCAAGCTCGTCCCAGATTTCGGCGCGTTCGGTCCATTGGTTGGAAGGTAGGGTGCGGATCGACTGGCTGGCTAGGGAGCGCTGGCGCTTTGGTGGTGCTATCACCACGACGGGCCCACCGCTGCTGCTTCCGCCTTGTGAGGCGCCATCCCCTTGTAGTCGGGACTGGCTGATGTTGAAGGTGCTGTAGTTGTATAAGCGTGGGGGAGGAACACCGATACGTTCTTCCTCGTCTTCGATGTCGGAGCGGAGTAGGAGGGATTCTTCGTCGTCTTCGTCGTCTGTATCTTCGACTAGGCCCATTCCTGGAGCCAGTGTTGACTGTCCAACGCCGGGAGTATGTTGTTCGTCGCTTAGACGCCACGATAGTGCCAGGACACCGGTTAGAAGGATGACGGTGCCGAGGGTGATTAGGCACGCCTGGAGCGGGCTGATCAACTCGGTCTGATCAAAGTAGATTAGGCCATCCAAGATGGCGATGATGTTATAGATACAAAATATTAGTGGGTATAGAACCGAGGTCGAAACCAGTTTCAGGCCGCGGTGTAGGTAGTAGAGTTGACTGAGAGCGAGTGTGACAAGGGCCACAAGGATGGCCCAGGACTGCCAGTGGACAAACTGGTTTTCGCCGTCCACCAGCGTCTTGACGAGCAGTTCGACGGCTGACTTGGCCACCAGCAGGGAGTGGGCAGACAAGATGCCACTTATGCACCCGTACGCAAAACCCCGAGCGAGGCGGAACCGAGAGTGCTGCATCAGCTTTGTGAAGTTGCTTATCACGTCTGTAGCGATCGCAATGCCCAGCACTAGGATGCCCTGAAACACCATCCATGCTACAAAGGGTCCCCTTCCCAGCAACTCCAGCAACTCGCTCAGTTTATGCGCCGGCGAGGGAATAGCTCCGAAGATGGCGATCAAGACTGCGCCGCTGCAGACCAGCAACGTTCCCCATAGTGACCACCTCGTGAACGGTTCGCCGAGAATCAGGGTGGCGCAAATCGAGTTGAAGACCAAGCCGGACGCTTGTAGGGTAGAGAGAACTGGTAAAGGGAGGACCGATATCTGAACCGAGCTCCCGATGACGTTGGAGATGATGAACATGCCCATTCCTATCTGCCACCTCCTTCTTCGGTATGGCGGTCGTCGAACATCGTAGGGCCCCTTTTCATCTTCGAGTATGTGTGACTTTCGTTGTAGCGTGAGGCCGAGACTCTGGACGCTCGTGGATATCAAGCCGACTATTATTCCGAGCTATTGTAGTTGCGCATACGATTAGAACGTGGTCGACGTCAAAGTTATGTCGAGTATTGTGTGTTTAGCTTACAGCAATGCCCCCTGCAGGAGAGATGCCGCCAAAGAGCCCCATCGCGCCTGTGATTTGAGGCTATCTTTCACCCAGACAGCCAGAGGGCGAGGTGGCGGCTGTTATGCTATGTTTGCATGGGGGAATATCGTGACGGAGATGCCGCTCGGTCGCTGAGGTTGTCCGGGCAAATAAGGTATGTTGGGTCGAGGGGAGTGATCTGTACAACGACAAAGAAGGTTGTTGGCTATGGTATCGACGTAATTCGAGCGCACGAAGACCAAGTCAGGTGCACAATCGGTGAAGAGGCGGAAGTCGTTGTCTGTTTCAATTCGGTAAGTCTTAGTAGGTGTGTCGCAAACGGTCGAGTCGGTCGGCCGGTCGGTCGTAGGTATAAGGTGTGTAGCGAGGTACGTAGATAAGAGAGGTCGATAAGGTTGGTCGTTAGCGGCCGTGGGGACCTCGCTGGACAGTTGGGCTGTTTTAGGGTGTTTCTCCCTGGTGTCTCAGGGCAGTAATATGCGGCCGCAGGGCAGGTGAATTGGTATCGACCTTTTGCAACTGAGTGCAAATCTCGGATGGTTCACCGGACTGGTATCACGAAAGGAGTGGTTTGGTTTAAAAGAGGGGGGGAAATTGTATTCGAGAGACGAAACATTAGAAGGTGCGGATTGTCTGGATCGGGCCTTGACGCATGAAGGAACAAACCACCGGGCGTCGAAAGTGGACTGGACCTGGACTCTTTTTCTGCAAGTGAAAAGAACACGGCCATGGGTCACCGAAACGGGCTGGAGGTGGTCTAGCGCGACGCTCTCACGCGCAGTGCAGTTGTGTCTGCAGCAACATGTCCGGGCAGTCAATGCGCTGGAACGCTAGGTAAGGGGAAGAAGACTTGATGTGAGTGATTGATTGATTGAGAGTGACCGACCGCGGTGAGTGCTGGGGTCCAATCAGCTGACATGGGCCATTGCTTCTCGCTCGTTGCCAGCCGGACATCACTTGCAGCTAGTGATCATGTCTGGACTGGGACCCCCGATTCATTCTCAGCGGCAGGCATTCGATACCGATAGAAGTGGAGGCTGAAGGTGGGGTCTGCTGTGGTTAGTGCCTGCCGCAGTTAATGCCTGGTACAGTCCTGCTCTCTCTGCAGTGTTTCGAAGCTCTGGACAGCGACAAGAGTGCAGCGAGCGACGTCGTTACAGCGCCAACGAGTTGGCCGATGCCCACCACCAGATTGTCCAGGGCCGGGGTTGCTGTTGCCAGCCTTCCTGGCTCCAATCCAATGCCAAGCCAACATCATCCCCCCAAGCTGCGTCAACGGGCAACATCTATTAGTCGACGTTGTTCAACGATATCTTTCTACAAGCAACTGCGATACCCTTTCAGCCCTGTTTTCCGACTTTTGATAGATCGCGATCACCTTAGCGTCCCTACACTTCGCTTCTTCGCCTTTTATACCCCGATATCGATCCAAGTTAGCTCTCTGCCCGCGTGAGCTTCCCCTCCCAAGGACGACCGACGACATCACATCCTCGATAACCCGTCCTCGGCGACCCGGTCCTATACCGAACAATCACCACCACGACAACAACACCTATTCCCTAGAATACCTCCATAACCACCAGCCAAAATGTCACAAATTCACGCCTTGTCCGACGATCAGGTAGGCCAATCCGAAAGTCCTGGATAATCAACGATACCAGCTAACGATGCGATTGCCAGGTCGGACAAGAGCTCCGCAAGATGACGGCCTTCATCAAGCAAGAAGCCGAAGAGAAAGCGCGCGAGATTGAGATCAAAGCCAACGAGGAGTTCGCCATCGAAAAGTCCAAGCTGGTCCGCCAGGAGACGGACGCCATCGACTCGACCTACGCCAAGAAGTTCAAGCAGGCGCAGATGTCGCAGCAGATCACGCGGTCGACGGTGGCCAACAAGACACGCCTGAAGGTGCTTGGCGCGCGCCAGGAGCTTCTGGACGACATCTTCGAGGCCGCCAGCGCCCAGCTGGGCGAGGCCACGAGCGACCAGGGCCGCTACCAGGACATCCTCAAGGGCCTCATCCTCGAGGGCTTCTACGCCATGAACGAGCCCGAGCTGCAGATCCGCGCGCGCAAGGCGGATTATGACGTCGTGAGGCAGGCGAGCGAGGCGGCGAG